CAAATCCATTGTGGTGGTGTATAGAGCCAAAGATGTTAGAATTGTGTGGATGTCCCAATATTTCTGGACCTGACTGTATGTGTTTCCTGGATGTGGGAAAGTACTGCTATAGCCCAACAGAAATGGAACCACAAACTATAAACTGGAATACACTTTTTTTAAAAAACAGTAATTATGCCCTCCAAAATAGGCTAGGTGATTGCTAAATCAATCCAGCATTTATTCTGATCTTCTTTTCCAACTCTCACTACACTTCCTGGCTGTGTTGCAGGGCTTCTCTGCTGGGGGAGGAAATAATAACAATTTTATTAATCATTAATATTTCATTAATATTTAATTAATAATCATTTATATGCCACCCAACTCCCAGCAACTCTGAAAGGTGATACCAGGGACCCTTTTAATTAAAAAGAAAAGACATGTTTCTTCAAAAATATGATTTCTCAAGAAGCATGCTAGGACTGTTTTAACAGTCAGTGCTTGAATTTGCTGTTAGAAGCAATGGTAAATGGATGCCACCTCTGTCCGAATTATTCCTGCAGGAAAAATATGTGCATGGGATTCCCTTGTGCATACCTCTTCTTGGAAGTATTAGATGCAGCTCTCAGTTGAGTGTATTTCCCAGGAGCTTCCCAGGTTTGGGCTGTTCTGAGATCTCATGGGAAGACCCTTCCCTGAATAAGAGAATTAGCTGTTTTGTCTGCATGGCAATAACAAGGGCTGACACCCTTTTGGAAAAGTAGGTCACGCTCTCTTAGTGAAATTTAGTGCCTTTGTTTCTCCCCCTTCTTCTCTTCCCCCGACCCCACCCCCCAATGCTTGCCTCAATAGCCAGGCACGATTCTCATCCCCCAGACTTCTGGAAGAGACTACAGATCACACAGACTTCTGCAGAAGTCTGAGAAACCCAGCCCTGTTGGTCTTGCATGCCCAAAACTTATTCACCTTGTTTGGGAAATCACATAAGGTGGTGCTTTGCCTTTTGGCTTAAGCCCTGTTTCTCCGCCCCTTTCTATTTCCTTTCAAAAGAGACTTGGTTTCTGTGTGTTCAGAATGAAAAATGTCAACAACAGAAAGCAACGGGTGGAAGGGTTCCAAGGAGGAAATTCTTGCCCAAACCTTCCTCCCCGATCTAACCACTCCCTCGTGTGCTGATAGTGCTCTGGAAATGAGACTGCTGTCCACCCTCAGGCGGATTTTAATCATCTTTTAAGCAGACATGGCTACTTTGTTGGACGACCCAATGGAGAGGCTTCAGGACGAGGTCTCTTGTTCCATCTGCCTGGAGTATCTGAAGGACCCAGTGACCATCGACTGTGGCCACAACTTCTGCCAGGCGTGCATCTCGGACTTTTGCAAGCGAGGAGCCGGTTCCGCAACCGGGGCAGCTCTCTGCCCCCAGTGCCGGACGGGGTTCTTGCTAAGCAGCTGCCGCCCCAACAAGCAGCTGGCCAATATTGTGGAGGGCATCGAGCGGCTGGCTCGGAGGCCCAGCCAAGGACTCGTCGAGGCCCTGTGCGAGAAGCATGGCAAAAAGTTGCGGCTTTTCTGCCAGGATGACGGGGAGCCCATTTGCTTGGTGTGTGACAAATCTCGGGAGCATCGTAAGCACTCGGTCCTGCCCCTTGAGGAAGCCGCTCATGACTACAAGGTAAGGAGGAAGCTGGGTCTGGGTTCAAAACAGGGCTGCGAGTGAGGACAGGCTGGCCTGCTTTGTCTGTCCAAGTCCTCAGTAGACTACAGAGCTCACTGGGTGACCTTGGGCAGTTACACGTGATCAGCCCAGCCTGCCTCATAGGGTTGTTGTTATGGAGGGAAGACTTCTCAGGTAAGCCTCCTTCAGGGGAGAAGATGGGCTATATAGCCAACAAATAGATAAAGCATAGATGCAGAAAACTTTTACCGCTCTTAGATTCAAATTGTCCAGGCAGGATTCAACTGTTCTTCCCTACATCAATGGGCATCTGCTGGAGAGGTAGTGATGTCACATGCAAATGATATGCAGTTTCATCAAATGATGTAATTTGCATTATTTGCACAATGATATTGTGCTGCATGTGATGTCATTGTGGCTTCTACCAAACGCCTGTGCTTATATGCTTCTCTTTTTTGTTTTTAAAAAAGCCCTCCATGACTCCTGATTTTAGTTTGGTGGAGACAGATGCATAAATGACAAATGAAGTGACTACTACTGTCTCATCCACCGTGGCCTTCAGGGGCTATGAAATTTCGCCAAGACATGAGTTAGGCTTTTTGAACATAATGCAGGATTAATTTTGTTTCTCTCAAAATCCTTACTGCATATTGCTTGGGAAAACTAATCTCCATCCTTGTTCTATGGATCTACCCAAGGACCGGGAGAGGTTTTGTGAACATTAAAAGAAGGGGAGGGGAAGCGTTTCCTTCCACCTCTTGCCCTTTTAGCATCCTTGAAGTAGCACACATGGGTTTCCTTGTGGCCTCCCATCCAGGCACTTTTAGTTTCAAAACTATTACACATCAGCTGCTCTGAGACCCTCTCTGACCCACATCATGCTGTTTTGATTAGCCTGAAACTCTTTTAGCTTCTTTCAAAATTGCACATATTTCTAACCAATATTCCCTCATATTCCCTTCAAATTTTGTCCTTGCCTTTCTTTAAATGCTGCCTATAATTCAAAGTTGGCCTGCTTCTCCCAGAACCAGATCTGATGAAAATACTTGCAGCCTTCAATGACTGAGATATTTCCAAATGAACGCTGGCAGGAAACATTTTCAAGGTTGATGCTATTGCTTCTCTTTCCTTTGTAGCCTTTGACACAATCTATCTTTATGCAACAAGCCTAGACTAACCAAACTGGACTCTGAGAGACCCCCCTATCTTCATCATGCAACATTACAAGCTTACAGAGAGGATGTTGCTTTTAGCTGTTTTATTTCTGAGCCATGAAGAAGCAGCACTGGGATGGAGAGAAACCTAGGGGGACTCCTAATGAAATCCACAAGCTTACTTCCCTCCCTCTTAAACAAGTAATTGCCCCCTTTGGCAGCCTTCTAACAACAATAACAATGAAGCCAAAAGTTAAGACAGACAAGTCCCTCGCTGTAAGCTGAGTATTATCAGCCACTCTGTTTAATTTTAGCCAAATCACACATCCCAGCTTCCTACAATAGCTATAGTTCCTAAGGAGATCAGCATCTTATAACCCAAGGTTATGCAACTTTTTTTTATTCCCAAAGGCCATATCGAACATGGGCGTGGAGGGAAAGAAGAATGTACTGAGCAGGGTTATGTTACAAAGCAGATCGCATCTCATTATGAGGATGAATATGCTTGATGCATTTTCCAGGAGTGTGAGTTTTTGGGAAGGTGTTGTTTGTTTGTTTTGGAAGCGTATATTGTACAGTTTTCCTATACATCCATCCTCAAAATTGTGGGAAATTGAGCTGCTCATTTTTGTACAATCCAAGCAAAACACCCAACAAAATCCTTTCCCTATTCCAGGCCAAATTTCCCCTTCCCCTTCCCTTCTCTTCCCAGTCCGTGACTGAATAAATGCTAGAAAAAATGTTTTTGTAATCCAAAAACTTGCTAATTGCTTTAATCTTATATTGGTGCCAAGTTAAACTTATATACTGGGGACACTATAGGCACTGAACATCAAAATTAATGTTCTGAAAGAAAAAGTAGATATTTTTAACGAATTCATAGAAACCTAGAAACAGCTCTGTTATGACCTTAGTAGAGGGCAGTAATGTTCTACAAACAGCTGTTCAGCAAATTTTCCCTAATCCTTGTGGTTCTAAGCATTACATTTAGGAATTAGGATTGCTAGCATATTTTTCAGCAATATTCCTTTTACATGGCTGGTGTGGGTCTTCCGGGCTTCCTTTTACAACTTGGCCAGAATTAAGCAGAATGAGCTTTCCTGAGCAGACAGACAAAATGAATTAGAAAAAAGTTTTTTTTTCTCCCTTGGTTTCTATATATCAGCTGCTAAAGTGCGATGGAACACAGCTGGAAAATAAATAGGAGCACTGATGTCATTCATTAAAAATGCTTCGACATCCACATTTTCTTTCCTTCTTTCATATTATTGTGGTAAGATTGTTCTGTCTGCAGCAGCAGTGAGCTCACATCATTGTTGCCAACTTTTTATTCTCTTTTCCTGTGTTTTTAAAAACAACAAGTGGCAGTAGAAGGATTTGCAGACAGGAATGCTTATCTGAACAGTTCACAGCCTTTATCATGAAACCTCCATCTTCTCCTTTCTTCAGGAAGTAGAAAACCAGGTCAAACTGTTTTGCCCCCAGATGAAAAGCCCTCGGAAAGGTGTCGTAAAGCTCTTCATTCTCTGAAACATAGCTTTGACAACACTTTACCAATAGTTTCCTCTTATCAGAGAATGGAATGGCTGTATTTTCATAGGATTAGCTCTGTGCTTATGCTTTTAATGTCAAATTGAGATAGAAAAGTTGTTTAAAACATTGTCTCCAAGCCCAGCGATTTCTCCAGTAACTGCTTTCTCCAGTTGGTAACCTTCTCCTATCAACCATATGTGACATGTCCGAACTGAGATGGGTTGACAGTAAAACCTTCCTTGGAGCATATCTAGATTTTTTGCTCTAGGTAGGTCCATGGATGAATGTTAGCATGGACGTAGTGACATTAGTAAACATAGGTAAATATTAGTCAAGAGTCGTTAGGAATTTGGCAGTCTATAAATGTGATACTTAGGTTTATTTATTTTCAGAATTCCATGATTTCTCCATGAAGTGCTGGACAAGAGCAGCAGTCTTTGTAAAGAGCCCTACATTGATATAACTTTGTGGCACTTGGTTAGGAAAAGAAAGAAAAAGCCAAGAATCCCACGATTTTGCCTATTTTCTGAAGTAAAAATAATCACTGTCTACTCCTATAGCGACGAGCAAATTTATTAACAAACTGAGTATAAGTTTTGCTAGAGCAGAAATCTGAAGGCAGTAAAATGGATCAGATTTGCCACTATCTATATATTCCTAGCTGGCAATGCTGAAAAACCTGTCTCTTTACAGGATTCCTGGATGTGATTATCCTGCTGAATGGCTACATTAGCAATATCATGTGTTGTTAGATATAGTTACAAATCAGTGGACTGTGAGACAGTTGAGATCAATGTTGGCTAGTTTTCGATGTGGCATGGCTACCTCTGTGGCTCTAATGGGTTCAGTGGAATTATCCCGTAGAAATCTGGAGCTAGCACCCGATAAGGGCAAATCGTTATCAACAATCTATCCCTCTAGATCAGTCCTACTGTTTTCAAGGCCTGAAGCTGGACCACCAAAACCACTGCCTAAGGTCGCAAAGGTTCCATCACTATTGACTGCCTTCTTCACTTCCTTCTTTTTTCTCAACTTTCTCTTTTTAAAACCAGTGTGATATCCTTATTGTCTCCTCTAAGAAATGATGGTGTTTTGCTTTGACCGTTTGGGACTAAGGGGGAATCTCTTTCTTTCCCTCCCTCCTCATCTCTATCCCATTCTGCTGTGCTGAGCTGGGACTTAAAGTGGAGCATCTTACTCCAAATAAGTGACCCTCCCTAAATAAGCAGGAGATAAACCAACTTTATATAAATGGGTGCTTTCATTGACTGTATCCCCTTTGACCTGAGAGCAGGACAAGGCTTGAAGCATGAGCATCACCTTGTGGGACAGAAGTTCCTGCACTGAGATGATAGTCTCATAGGGACAATTGCTAGAGAAGCTCTGTTCACACAGAGACAATCCCTAAGGAAGAGCGTGGAGCTTGTGCTCCTCCAAAAGTTACTGAACTACAACCTCTCCCTCACCATTGGCCCTACTGGTTGAGGCTGCTGGGAACTGTAGTTTGGGGAGGGGGTTACAAGTTCCCAAGCCCTGTGCTAAGATAGTTTCCCCCATCTTTCCCAGGACAGTATGTTAGACTGAAGCTGTAGGCATACACCTACTCCCACACCTCATACGTATGTTTTCTTTCCTAGATGAAGCTCCAGGAAGCTGCAGACATTCTCAGAAAAATGCTGGCAGAAGCAAGAAATCTGGAAGCCCAGGAGGAGGAGAAAACCTCCCAGTGGAAGGCAAGCCCCTATCATGTCCCCCCTGACTCCAACTAGCTCTTTTTCACCCTGATTCCTAATTAATAGTGTTGGGTGCAGATCCTTCAGTGAAGTGCTTTCAGGTGCCTCGCTAGCTCTGTGGTGAGAAGATGCAAAAGCAGCTGCAGCCTCTTAAAGGCTCAACCAGGTTGCACGCCAAGTCTTTGAGCAGCTCCAGCTTTGCACTGCAGATCCCAAAGGAAGGATTTGCTCAGCTCTACTAATCATGAAAGAGTAGAAATATTAAGGGAACAGCTAGACGGTCACATTAAAGTGCTATATTGCATTCCATGGGCCGGTAGAAAGGTGCCCTCAATGCTGATGCCTATGCTCTATCCCTCAGGAGCAAGGCCAGCAAGTGGCCCCGTTGTTATCATTTTAATGAAGGCTAAGTGAAGAGAGCACTATTTTGTGTCTCTTCCCATGAAGCATCAGCTCCCCTGGGAAGAACAACCAAGAGCTCCTGTCCTTAATAGACGGTGGGTCAGGATGGACAAGAGTAGGTCAGTGCTTAGGATGGTTAGTTTAGCCACCTGTCAAGTTGCCCACTCACAGGTTGTAGGTGTGGAGGTGTTCTGTATCTGTTACCTGTCATTTGAGCTATATCTCTGCGCAGCTGTAGTATTCTTCTGAAAGATAATTCAACTAGTATCCAAAAATAGACTGACGGATCTCACAACGTCAAGGAGGGGATGAAGCAGAAGAGAGCCATCAATAACTTACAAGGTCATGGCGGTACTGAGAGCAGTGCCTGAGGCTGCAGCACCTGGAAGTAACTCATGTAGACGACATTGCTTTCCCCACCAAAGTAATAGAAACAGTAAGAAGTAAAACCATGTGAAATCCTTTGCCAGCAATAGTAAAGGAAATGTTATAATGGACTCACTGGTGACAGGACCAAGAACATACAGCTGGCAGAACCTGGCTCAAGAGAGCACTATGTCTGATTTTTAAACACAGATCTAGTGCTCTTTCAAAAGAGTGCTAAACCCAAGTATATAAGGAGTTTGAGTAAGGCCTGACCAGGCCTTTAGACAGCTCTGGCCAGGTATTATACAAGCAGTTGCCTCTATGTAAGTTGGGTATCTCACAGCCAAGCCAAAATGGTCATGGAAGGACAGTTTCTAGAGGCTGGAGGAGGGGAGGTACCCACCACAGCCTAAGGTGACTAATAGGAGCTGGGCAGACCCTAAACTCTGACTGTATCAGCAACCACATGAAATTTGCCATAGCAAAAATCATGTCAGGTGAAGGATGAAAAGACTATTTTAATACTGTAATAGCTGTAGATGACTTCATGCTGCCTCAGTGGACTGGGCATGAGAGAAAGGCAACATCATGAGCCTCGTGCCTCGTGTCCAGCAACTGTCTCTTACAACCCAGAAGTGAACCAGCCAGTAGGTATTTGGCATATAGACACATTACTTTCTTCCAGTTATAAGGTTTGTTTTGTGACACTTTAAAGACAAACCGCAACTCTGTTATGATAACTGCTGCACTTCAGCAGTTGCAAGTATAAATTTATATACAACATGGTGCTGGAAAATAACAGCTACAGGGGGCTGTTTGTGTAGTGGTTGGGGGCAGTGAGGAACAGCCCTATATGAGGAACAGAAGCAGGGCAAAAGGTGACAAAGATGTGATGGATTTCTGTGGCAGGTTCCTCATTCTCAGTGACGTAAGAAGTACCAGCATGCTCTCAGCACGTGTGTGTGCCTCATGTCCTGCAACTGTCTCTTACAACCCAGAAGTGAACCAGCCAGTAGGTATTTGGCTCAGATGTTGGGAAAGTCCACAGTTGCTCAAATTGTTGATGCACCGTTTTTTATCACTGAAATTGGAGGCCTCAAAGCCGCCCTGATAACCTTCTGGTCCCACAAGTGTGAGGAGCTGGTTCTGATGACCTGACATGTTTGTGTGTGAGATATTCCACACTTTCTCAGAGACTTTTGATCCCTGTCTAGGGGGTTGGATCAAGTGTACGTCACTCTAGCTGTGAAAGAACCACAGTTCTCAAGCGGTTCATTGTTTTGCTTTTTCAGTTACTAAGGAATGTGGCTAAACACCAGAAGCAGGAAGAATGACACATTTACGTAAGACTCTTTACAATTAAAAGAAAAACTATGGTGCTGCTCCAGCTGAAGCGATTACAGAAAGGAAATCGCCTTGCTTCAGAGGAGATTCACAAAATCCTGGGCTTGCGTAGACAAGTTTGAGGTTTCTGGACAAGTTCCTATAGCTGTGCTTTTAAAAGCAATTTGATTTTCAGGCACTAACAAACTTATTTTCTTCAGAACAAACTGAAGAACAATCTACATGCATCTCCAATTCGTCTTTCAGCACTGATTTAAAATTAATTAAGTAGCATGGATATGGACTACCAAGTACCAATTATCAGCTAAAAATACGCAGTGAGACTCAAAACTCACCAGGAAAAAGAATTCTGGAGAGATAGACATATTACTTTCTTCCAGTTATAAGGTTTGTTTTGTAACACTTTAAAGACAAACCGCAACTCTGTTACAATAACTGCTGCACTTCAGCAGTTGCAAGTATAAATGTATATACAACATGGTGCTAGGAAAGAAATAGTAAATAGGGTTAGGAACATGAAAACCAGGAAGTACAGATGGTGACAATTATTTAAGTACTGCTGGTATCATAGCAAAACTATGTAACTTGTCCCTCCGTTCGGGTTCAGAAGACTGGAAGGTAGCCAAGGTGAAACCAATTGTAAAAAGAACCAGGAAAGATTGGGGATAGGCTGGTCAGCTTAAAGTGTGCCCCAGGTAAATTCACTGAAGTGGTAATCAAAGACAAAAAAATAACAAAGAGGCAAGATATCCAAATTAGCACATCTCCATCACAATGTAAATGATGTGCAGCACATCATTTGCACAAGGGTATTAGTACTAACAGTCTTTATTTATTACTTTTTTCCCAAAACTACATTCCTTTTATATAACTTTCCACAAACTAGGTTAGCCTGAGTGAAAATTTTTAGGAGCAAATGCAGGGCAATAGGGGACTCCATTTGTTGTTGCCATCTGGATGTGCGGGAATCCACGTTGCACTAAAATGGATCTCTAATGAATGTATTACATATCCATTGCCCGTGTGTCATGTTAGATGCTTGATGGACATTAATATGATCCTGAAAGGACTTATATATGCTCTGTAATGGATGATTTCCTTTCTAGAAAGGGCAGGTGCTTCAGCGTTACTGCCTGAATGGGGGTTAGTATTATTAAAGAAATAATACATGAGGCCAGCTAGCTTGACTCATCCAATGCTCAGCATTGCCTTCTCTTGATCCCCCTGCTAGGAGAAAGTCGAGAAACACAGAGCCCTCATCAAATCAGGGTTTGAAAGACGCCGCCAGGCAATGGCTGAAGAGGAGCGGCTGCTTTTGAAGCATCTTCAAGAGGAGGAGCTGGGAACCCTGAAGAAGCTGGAGATGAATTGGGCCTTCCTTCTTGGGCAGTGTGCTGGGCTGCAAAACCTCATCTTGGAGATGGAACAGAAGTGTCAGGAACCAGCTGTCTCCTTGCTGAAAGTGAGGTCCTTCAGAATGGCCAGCTGAAAGGAGCAAGAGAAAGCCATTGCTACCTTCAGCAGACTAGTCGTGTCCTCTGGCTACAGGGCTCAATCATTTCTCATGCCCTATTTTCACATTATTTTTGCTTTGTTTCTTGTATCATTAATCATGGAATCAATCAAATCTTTGTTACAGCCAAAGCCCTGCATAAGGGGGTGGGGTACAGTCAATTTAAAAAGCATAGACAATACATAAAAAGCTAAAAGAGATAAAATAGAAAGTATTTATCTAAAAGGAATCGGAAAGAAAAATTATGAAAAGCTGGAAGATATGTATTAAAACAGAAAGTATATATACAAAACAAGAGTCTAAAAGAATTGAAAGGAGGGGCGGGAACGTTAGATGGGTGAAGGGGAACATAAAGGTTAACATGTGGCAGACTATATCAAGTTACAGAGCATTCTACTATGACGAACTAGATGTTCATTTAGACTAGTTTATGGCACAGGTCATCATCATATGAATTTTCATGCTGCTGGGCAGATCCTGGCAACATTATATGTTGTAGGAGGGTTGGTATCTGAAAGCAGCAGGGAGGTGTAGAATTGTCCTGTGCGCCCTGGGTATTTATGCAGTAATGGTGAGATGATGCTAGTACGAATGTCTCTATAATACTGAAATCATGGAATAGTTCCAGAACCGGTGCTATGAAAGGATGGAATATGGAATGACAGAATGTGCAGCATCGATTCATTGCCATTTCTAGAATTTTACAGTTGTAATAGAAGCTTCCATGACTGCATTTGTAATAGGACTGGATCCTGGGGAAGTGACATTTTCTGCTTGTTATCACATCCTATGCTTTTTCTGAGCGCTATGACTTTGGTACTGAGGCAGCATACACATTGATTGATAAACAAATAAACTGTGAATTACTTATATCCTAGATCCAAGTCCTGTGCAAAATACTATGTTATGTCTGATCAAGAACTTCTGAGGCTCTATTTTAAGTAAATGGCAAAGCTGCTGAAAGCATTAGTTTTTTCCCCAACTTTTTCCTGGACTTCATTCTTTAGTACCTTGAGGGCTAGAAACATAACAATTATCCACCCGCCCTGCAAAAAACAACAGTTCAATTACTAGGATGTTGACAGAGCAGCATTAACAATGGAATTCTGTACTTATATGTTTCTTCAGCAAAGTTTTAAAAAGAGTACTTGAGCATTTACCATACTTGTGTTTTTTCTTCTAGGATGTGAAAAAGACCTTGAGCAGGTCAGTATACTAATTTAGACAATTATTTGCATATTTAATTTTGAAATAAATCCTGATCAAAGTTTTCTTCCAAATAAACAGATAAAGGGCTGCATTTAATCATTTTCATTGACCCTGGACTAAAACATGATGCTTTTGACTTCTGTGGCATAACTGATGATGTTTCTCCCCAGGAGTGAAGGAATATCTCTGAAAGAACCGCAGCCAATTTTGATAGAGTTGCAAGACTCATATGATGTCCCTGGACTTATGGAGTCATTTCAAAGATACAACGGTAAATGAAGGACACTCATATAGTGCTATGCTTAATGTATTGGATTAGGTCCCATGTTCAAGACCCCTTTTGACCCTGAAGCTTAGGGCTTTGGATGGCTTTTCTCCCTTAGTATCACAGGATTATAAGGGATGGGGGGGGGGATTAAGAATTAATTAATTAATTAAGAATTAAGAGTCTGGCCCAATAGTTGACAGTTGCGTATGTTCATATGTTATGACTGGAAAAACAGGAGCAATCCTGATTATTTCCATTTCTGCCTTCAGCATCGGTGACCTTCGATCCTGAGACAGCCAATCCTTACCTGCTCTTATCAGATGATCTCCTCAGTGTTCAAGTGGTGGATCAGAAGCAAGATCTGCCCAAGAGCTTGTCTCGCTTTGAAACATGCACTTGTTTAATGGGCCGTGAGCAGTTCACATCTGGAAAACATTACTGGGTGGTTTGTGTAGACCACAAGTCCAGCTGGACACTTGGAGTGTGCAACGAATCAGTGAGCCGCCAAGGTATCTTCACCCCCTCACCGGCAATAGGGTTCTGGACTGTGTGGTTGAGGAATGGGGATGAATACGCAGCCCTTACCTCCCCCCTCACAGAACTAGTGCTGAGATCAAGCCCAAAGCTGATTGGCATCTTCCTGGACTATGAAGCAGGAGAGGTTTCCTTCTATAATGGTGATACTGGTTCCCACATCTTTACCTTCTCAGATTCCTTCTCTGAGACCCTTCGGCCTTACTTCTACCCTGGAATCCAGGCAGGGGGCCTCAATGATGCTCCCCTAGTCATCCAGCCAGCCAAAGATCAGTCAAGTCTTTCTCTTCTCACCAGTGAGACCTCTTCATATCACTAGGGCTGGTTCCAGATGAACCATTGAATATGGAGTGGGACGTTCCATGGGACATCCAGGTGATGTTATTCATTGCTCATGATATCCTCGTCAGTGTCTCTTTGACATGTTTTCACCCCTTGAGACAGAGGCCGCCCCTGTATCACAAAAATGTTTCTAAATGGATCTTTGGATATGGAATAGACATGGCTTATTCCTGTAATTTCATGAGATGTTGCCATACTATAGGCATCCTATCATCTTTTAAGTTCTTTATCTCTGAGTGAGACCCCCCTTTTTTTCCCAAAGGGGAACGGAAAAACAATTCTTGGGGACTGAGGAGATGATGGAGTATGTCCTGAGAATGTATGTTAGCATTGGTAATTATTATTACGACTGATGCTGGACTTACATGGATATTTATTTTAGTTGATATTATTATTTCTACAGCTTTTCTAAACTGCTTGGATACTTCTGATGGAAGTGGCATAAAAGCACATGAATGAATGAATGAATGAATGAATGAATGAATGAATGAATGAAGCAGCAATATATTGAATTTAAAAGAAATAAATGTACAGAAGTTCAAAACAGCAAGAAACCATATTGACATATAAGGGTTTCCTGGGGGGGAAAGTGTCTGTAACATCTGAGGGACATCTGGTTTAAACTCAGATGCTTAATTTCTATTGGGATCTGTTCTGCAGATCCTGCTGTGTGTGTTTGTGTGCGTGTCTTATCCCCCGCTGTTTAACTCACTGTTTCCTTTACCTCTTTCTCTGATTTTGTCCTGTTCTTCCCCTTCCACACTTACTTCTCCTTTCCCTTAATCCTTCCTTCAAACTATTTTTGTTTCTCATTCTCTAAGCTGGCTACAGATACCTGTACCAGGATTCTAGAATTTCAAAGCACTGCAATGACTGTTTTGAAATTAACTCTGCCCCTTCCCTTTGCTGCTCTGTTCGCCATTCATATTCAGGATTTATAAAACATTTTTGTTACACACACACAGAGCAAAAGTTATTTTCTGCTTCCAGAATTTTAGTGTAATACAATAGCAAATGTTATAGAATTGGGCAAAATGTAATACGTTTCTAAAATAAGATAAGTTTTAAAATGTGTGTGGAATGCAATTTGTACCAGTGGAAGGAGTTTCTAGAGCTGATTGTTGAGGCTGGAGGAGTGAATTAGGAAGCACAGGTTGCCTTCCCTGGAGCATACACCTTAGTTCTCATGTCAGAATAGTCTAAGATGGGAGAGTGACCAGTCAGCTTTTTAAAAGGCCATTGTAGGAAACAAGGTACCTTTGTAGGTACAGAAAAATGTAAAGTTTAATCATATAAGGCAATTGCATATATTAAACCAATGAAACAGTCCTACTGTGCTATGCATGTTTGTAAGTATTATAATAATCCCAGTGCTGACGTTTTCTCCTGCAGGACAGATCCAACAGTCGTCACTGAATAAATTTTCTCATGGGGGGGATGTTATAAATAATTTGTTTGTTTGTATTAAAAAAATAAAGGGGGAAGTAAGAAGCTTGGAAATAACAACAAGAACAACATCATTACTAGTGGGTTTCAGTCAGCAGTGCTTGACTTACAAGGCAAGAGTTACCATGACTGGGTTGCTGCAACTGTTGAATTAACGGTGGGTCAAAAAACCTGGAGAAATGAATACAGTAGTAAGAATGGATTTTTAAAAAGTTTTTTGTTGTGTCTCCATATATGTGCACTTTGATTTTTATATATCAGTGGAAAGTAAAGGCCAAAGTGGTCCCAGTGGTGGTAGGAGCCCTCGGGGCTGTGACTCCTAAGGTGGGAGAGTGGCTTTGGTTGATCTGAGGAACAACCTCTGAGCTCTCTGTCCAGAAGAGTGCAGGGATGTACTATCTAGCTGAGGTGGCTGACATTGGGAAATCCTATCAGTGGCTGAAAAGGGTTGGACAGCGCTGAGGCACTGATCATAGCAGCACAAGAACAGGCACTAAGCACCAGATCCATAGAAGCACCTAGGGGGCCCCCTAG